GGCAAACAACCCAACCCCAGGATACTAGGTCTTATCAACTTTATATGTTTCTCCTAGCTCATTTTCACAGGCAATAAAAAACTAATTTGAGGTTGGCATAAACTGCCAGCAACAATATACTTGTAGTTCAAATAAACAGAAATAGTTAAGTCTTAAATAACAGAAGGATGAAAAAAATTGTCATAAAGACTCTCTTCCCGGCAAAGAATGCAATTCAGCTCACATTCCACCAAATTAAAAGCTGACTGATAAAATTCTATCCTTTAACCCACACAGAAGCAATATTTAGGTATCTTATATAACCCGTCCTATCGTGCAGATGCCACCAAAAACTTGTGCTTGAAAGATCAAAACCCACAATAAGTTTCCTTATTCGACATGATCCAAAACAATTCCATGCCATTAAGCTCAAAAAACAAAAACTAATTTGCATTAAAACATGCCTAAGTTGGGCTTACGGGTCAAAAAGGTTAATCAAATAAATCCCACAACTACCACAGTAATAGAATTCTCTGGTAGCCTGAAGGGTCCAAATGGTGGACCAAACAAATTCCACAGAATACCATAATAAGAGAATTCAATTAACACCGACCACTAATTAGACACCCAAATCATTATATAAACCACCAGACAATATAATTAACATCATAACCAACGATTAACTAAAAATAAACAAATAATTCTGAAAGTTGAAACGAAACATAATTATCACGTTTACGTAGAAATACATCCACGAATATGGACGTATATAAGGCGAGTGTGAAATTACCCCCGTGACCTTGACGTACTGTCCATCAATGGCACCTCTAAGCTCAGCATCAGGGTACCTCTTCAGAAATCCTAACAAACCCTTCCTTTTCCAACCATAATTCCACAGAATTCCCACCACCACCGGCGCCAAAATGGCCGCCACCGCAACCAAAATCACCACCTTCTTCACCGCCACCGTCAGAAACGCTCCGACCACCAAACCCATCACAACCACCACAAAAAACACCCACATTGCAAGCTTCGACAGCTTAAACCCGAGTTTTACATCTTCACTCAAGCTTGTCACTGCGGACCCATATATGACCTTTTTCATTGAATTGGAATTGGACGACTCTAATTGACCAGACCGGCGTCCCGCCGACGAGCTCAACGGGCCGGAGGTGATTAATCCGGTGGGCTGGAGTGGCGTCAAGGGTCCAGAGGAGGAGGATGATTTCTTGGGGATCGGACCAGAGTTTGACGATTTGGATCCGACTTGGCCGGAGTTTGGGCCGGATCTGACAGATCCACTGCTGTGCTGCGATGATGACGACGGCCGTGAGGGTTTCAGTGGAGGTGGGCCCACAGGCACAGAGGAGCCGTGGTCCATGCCGATGCCGTACATTTTCCCGAGCTCGCCGGACTTCTTCACGTCGCCTCCGGTGTACGGAACAGCACGCGACGCCATTGTGGGTTGGCGTTCCTTGAGCTGTTCGGGTCGACCCGAAACGTACAAGCCACTGCTCAGCTGGTGTGACCCCGTTCGAGTACTCATTGTAGAGGGAGAGAGCAGAGTGGTTGTTGCAGAGAGGGAGAGTGCGAGTGCGAGTATAGGTGGTAGTGGTGAATGGTGTGTAATGGAGGTGGAGGATGACGGTGAAAAGACGAGAAGGGGTATAGGATTCCTTCTAATAACATATATGCCCTTGTCTCAGTATGGCGGTACAGTGTGTGCTGTCCTGGAAAAATTACACTCTGGCACCAAAATTTCGTTCAAGGATGAAGTTACCAATTTAACCTTCTTATTCAAATTTTGAAGTTTTGGTTCTAACTTTGATATCGTGCTTGACGGGCCACCGAATTTGAGAAAGGGCCCGTTGCATAGTACCAAATTGGTCATTGTAGGTCCCATTTAATAACACACAAATTTAAGAACTTTGGAAGGAAGTGTAAATTACTGGGACCCATTGTCTAGAATCTAGCAGCTCAAAAAATCCCATACAAAACTTATTTCTTTTGATTTAAACGGTCAAAGGTGTTTGAGTGTACTTACGCATATTTTAGTTAATCTCTTCTTTAATTTAGTTAAAAATAAATTATTCATGTTTGAATTAAGGTATTCATGAGAGATAAATCCTTCATAGTTTAGTCTTAATATATTATTAAAATTTAAATTCAAAATATTTAAATCTTTTGATTAATCCAATAACAAACTAAATTAACTAGTGTATGTTTTCAATGTATGCAAATATTTATATGATTAAGCCTTTGTTTTTCAGATGTGATGTAATATATTTTACGTGTTAGAATTAAACTCAACAAAGNAAATATTTATATGATTAAGCCTTTGTTTTTCAGATGTGATGTAATATATTTTACGTGTTAGAATTAAACTCAACAAAGTCGACAATATTTGAAATTTGAAGGGGTTCAATACCCGTCATAAGATTGAGTTGGTGATTGATGATAAGATTTCTCTTAATTGGAACATTGAAGACGATGTCCTGGCCTTTGTCAACATTCTCGAGTCTAATAACCCTAATGTAAAGATTCATAATAGTGGAGGGCAATAAGGGAAATTAGTGATTGTATAGGGTCGGTCAAGAAATAGGCGTCCCAATTTTCTTTTAAAAAAAGGCCGTATAATTACGAAAATGTCCTTATTCCGAAAAAAACAGAAAACAGTTAGAAAACAAGACTTTTTCCCAGAAAAAACAGTTATCATTTCTCACTAGGCATATTAGCTGTAATGGTGCCTGATTCAACGCGCACACAATAGCGTGGTTTCCAGTCTCTGGCAAACAGTGTTCTAGTGGCACTAAATGTTGGGCTCAATATTTTTATATCTTATAATACAGTTATGCTATTAAATAGTTAATTCTTGACACAATATTTTAATTTTTAAGCACATTT